CAATCTCCATGGCAGTATGATTTTTTGGTGAATGAGTCGTGATCTGCACTTTTTCTGATCTTGCACCCAGACTATCATTAGTGAATGCGATATTTTCAGTATTAGTCACAGTAGGAACCGTGACTTGATCCTCAACTTTAGTTGTAGTTTCCTTATCTGTAACCGTGACTCCATCCGTGACTGTCTCCTCAACTGGATCCGTAACTGCAACCATGGCTTGAACTTGCACTGGAACCGTGACTAGTTCCTCAGCTACATCTTCAACTGGTTGTTCATTCAAAATTGGAATTTCCCCCTCATTTGCATCCAAACGTCCTTCCCCCCTGTGTCATGCCATTTATATCAGTTTGAAAAATTTGAAGTTTCACCTGGATGATGGTGAAAGTCCACAAGTGATCTTTGTAATCCTTCATGCAAATGTGCTTGGTTTATCTGTTCCAAAATTTCAGCAGATAGTGCATGGAAACTCTCCTCCATAACTGGAAGCTGTTCTTTGGATCTTGCCAACATAGCCTGCACTTTGTTTGAATAAACACTTTCAATGGTAGACATTTGGAGAGCAGTAGAAATATCCCTTGTTCCCAGCCAATCAAGAACAAATAATTCTTCTCTTTCAATCTCAGGTCCAGCTTTGGAAATGTGAGATTGATACTCTTCAAATCTCCACTTTCTCCATTCTTTCACCCTTAACAATTCGGTGGCAAGAATTTGATCTTCATCAACAAAAGATTCCCTTTCTTCATCCAGATTATTTGGTTCAAGATGTGTGTCCAATCCTTCAATTTGTAGTGGAGATATAAGATTATCAACATTAGGAAAAATAGTTTCGGTTGGCAGTGTTGGTAGATGTGGTTGGCTGCTTCTTCCAATTTGAGTCACAAGCACAGTAGCAGTTTCATTTAAATTTGAAGTTGTTCCTCCATCATTTGCAAAAACAATAATCTTAAAAGATGCATCATTTGATCCTAGACCCTCAGAAGTTCTAGAGGTTCTCCCTGATGGTCTGCCTCTTTTCTTTTTAGGAGCATTAGAACCCATAGTTTCTCTACTGGTGGAAATTTCAGTAGGTTTTCTCCCTTACAAGGTTTTAGGGTTCCTAAACAAGTATTTGTAGCTAGCAATATTTTTGGACTTTCTAAGAGGTACCTCTTCTTCCTTAGGATCTCAGAAATAACAAAATCATAATTCACATGCTGTTTAAATTGGCTATTTTGTAGAGGTACAGCAGAACAACAGTATTTTGCAATTCTCTTATGAACATACCCAGCCCAATTAAACTTAATTCCTTGCCATACTCCATTCATCAAGGTAATTTTTCGGGGCTTATATTCTTCTGAATTAGAGATTTTGCAGTCTAAGCACTTATACAGGATATCAAGGAACTTTCCAAACTCCCACTTTAAGAACTTCTTATAACCAGAAAATTTAGTTAATGACCAAAAATCTTGATGGATAAAAACATGGTCATCAATCTCCAGATTAGTGTCAGGCAGTTCAAAAGTGTCCCTTAAGTCATTAGGTGTGATTTCAACTGGGGTTTCATTCACAGTAGACTTAATTGATTGACTGTCCACAGATGAATTCAAATAGAATTCTGCTTAAGTCATTAGGTGTGATTTCAACTGGGGTTTCATTCACAGTAGACTTAATTGATTGACAGTCCACATATGAATTCAAATAGAATTCTGATATATCTTCCTCATAAATGCCAGAAAAGGGATATGTACATAACTTGAGGATACCACTGTCTTCTAGAGCTTTAATAATTTGTTTTCCCACATCTGTGTTGTCGATTACATTGTGGAGGTAAATGCTCCACAATTGGGATGCATAGTATATTAATAAATTAATAAATTAGAGTGTGGCTCATTAGAACCCATAGTTTCTCTATGGGTACACCTCTCACAGCTTCAAATATGAGCTTTTGCATGTCTTGCCAGCGTGGCTCTTATTTAATAAATTAGAATGTGACTCATTCTTTAACAAATAAAAACCGTAGCTCTATCTCCATGAATTAATTTGGGACCGTAACTCCTCTTCCTCAAAATAGATAATGTGCCTAACCAATTGAATTGTGGCTGATAAACAATAATCCATACGTAGCTCTTCTTCTTCATCATTGATTTTCTTCTTCATGAATTTCCTGGACTTAATATTTTTTGTTCTTCCTCAAAATAAAATTACACAAAATTCAAACAAAAATGGGGCTCTAAAATTTTTATCCTAAAGATACATTTTGGCTCATCAAAATCTAATTACAATTTATTCCTAACAAGTTGTCTTTTTCTTTTTGTAACCTCAGGCATAGTTTTAAGAAAGCGCTAAAAGTGTCAAATTTTCCCTTAAAAAATCAATCCAATTAAACCTAAAGAAATCATCTATACAGACAAAGACATGCCTTTTTCCTCCGAGACTCTAAACTTGAGTAGGTCATATGAGGTCCATATGAAGAAGTTCAAGAATTTTAGTGGTGGGAATGTGTACTGACCTTTTGTGAGCAACTCTTGTTTGCTTACCACGTTGGCATGGTCCATAGATGTGTGTATCACCTTTGAAGTCCAACCGAGGTACACCTCTCACAGCTTCAGATATGAGCTTTTGCATGCCTTGGTAGTTCAAATGACCAAGTTTATAGTGCCACACCTCACTCTCATATGTTAGAGAATTATTGCATACAAGGGCATATTTGATCACGTAACAGTTTTCTGAGGTTCTGACACCTTCCATAACACATGTCTTTGAACTGTAAACTTTACACTTCTCCTTAGTGAATCTAACCAGCAGATTTTGATCACACAACTAACTAATACTAATCAGATTAGCTTTCAATCCTTTCACTAAATAGACATTATCAAGTTTAGGCATACCTTATGTGTCCAGTGTTCCACGTCCAACAATTTTGCCTCTTTCACCATCACCAAACGTGACATGTCCAGCATGTTCTTCAACCACATCTTTCAGAAAACATTTGTTACCTGTCATGTGTCGGGAGCAACCGCTGTTAAAGTACCATGATGATGTCATATTTGCTGACATCACTATCTTCGTTGTCAGACAGGTTTGCTTGGGTTGGCACACTTTTCGTGGTTTGTGCTATTTGCATTGTCTCCAACCATGTCATTTTTTGTTACACCTGAAACAAATCTTGTGAAAGAACTTGTTAGTATACCTTGTGACGTCGATGTTTCGTCTTTGCATCTTTCCTGACACCCATACTTGTTGATTTTCTCGCTTGCCTGTGAAGCCTAGACATGCTTTATTATGATTATTCACTCCTGACTGAAGAATTTCATTTAGACTCTTGGTGCCTGTGTTCAGAATTCTCACACGTTTTTTTGAAATTTTCCAATTCACTCTGTAGGTATTTTTCATTTGAAACTCTAGCCACCAAGTCAGCCTCGAGTTTTTCTACTGTGACTTTTAGAGCGGAGTTTTCAAATTCTAAGGATTCAACATTCTTAATTAATACGAGATTCAGCTTACTTACCTTATACCAATTTTTGTACATATCTTCATATGCTTCAATTAGGTCAGCATCCTCATCCTCAGATTGTATTCCTTCACCTTCCTCATACACCTCTGGTGTGGGGGGTTGTACTGTACTATCTTTCACCCATTCTTCTGCACTTGCGAAGAACTTCTCGTAGTTTGCATGTTCTTCAATATCATCAAGGTGATACATGTTCCCATGAAATGCAACAAAATTGCTTGCCTGTTGTTCATCATTGTCAGAATCTTCGAGATCACTCCAGGTAAGTGTATATGACTTTTTTCCTTTGTGGTTTCCACAATATGCTTGCATACGTCCATAGCCTCCACATTCATAGCACTGGACACCCTTGAGTTTAAAGTCTTGACCTAGACCTTTTGGCTTCTGAACATTTCCAGTTCCATCTCCTTTGTTACTCGTTTTCATCTTACCTTGCCCCTTGGCTTTGTTTAGCATTTTGCCAAATTTCTTTGACAGCATAGCCATGACCTCATTCATATCTGTATCTGAGTCAGCTCTTACAGGTACCACAACGTCGAATGCAACTCCTTTGTTGTCCTTGTTCAAGTACTTGTCTTCCGCTTCCATTTCTAACTCAAAAGTTTGCAAATTTTCCATTTGAGCATCTAAAGTTAGAGTTTTTAGATATGCTGATTGCTTGATAGCAACCAACTTGCATCTTGAACTTCGGAGGCGAGGATCTCAGAACTTTGCGAACCAATTTTTATTCTTCAAATGGTTCACCAAAGTTTCGGGCACTATTTGCCAAGTTCTTTATCCTTGCACTGAACTCAGAGACTAACTCAGTTTCTTCCATCTTTAGACTCTCATACTTGGTCATGAGTAATTGCAGCTTTGAAACTTTAACAGATCATGTTCCTTCATAATGAGTCATAAGTGCATCCCATGCAACCTTTGCAATATCTGTAGTTGAAATCAACTCGAATTAACCTTCTCCAAGAGCATTGTGAATCACATTCATAGCTCTATTGTTCGCTGATACTTGCTTCTTCTCGTATGGTGTCCATTGGGCCAATGTTTTTTTCTTCTCTTCGTTTTTGACCATCATCATTGGTGGAGTCCTAGCATTTTCCATGGTATCCCAACATTCTTCATCCAAAAACTTTTCACTAAAGATCAACCCGTTGTTTTTATTTACAATTACAAGGCTCAGTGAATTACAAAACTAGGTCTACCACACACACACACACACACACATATATATATATATATATATATATATATATATATATATATATATATATATATATATATATGAGAACACTTGTTTAAGTGAGAACGTTAGAATAAATCGTGTACATTCATGTAATATTTTTTAATGATTTAGATTAGATTAAGTATTTAGATTAGAATAACTATGAAAACGCAAATTAAATATGTGCAAATGCGAATTAAATGTGTACGGATTAAATGTATGCAAAGATCAAGAACCGAAATCGAACTGCGGTCACCCATAAGGCCAAATATGAGCATTGGGAAACTCAAAAGTAGAGGGGTAGGAGTGAAAATTTCCAAAATCAACAAAACGGAACTGGAAATGGCGCAGGCGGAAAAGATCCGCAGATCTGAAATCAGTTCACACAACAGCAGCGTCGTCTACTTGCCGGAGGCGAATATAGCAAAGACGGCAACTTTCTGACGAATGTCAACGAAGAGAGTGTGCAGCGGGTGGCGCCGATTCCTCTTTTTCTTGCCGCTTCTATTCCTTCTGCCTCATCTTCTTTCAGGTCATCCGATTCTTCTTTAATTATTACTATTGTTAATGTTAATCTTCTCAAATAGTAACCTTAAGTAGTAAAGCTGCTTCCTTTTCCTCAGTTTTAGAGCTGCAGCAACAGGGCCGGAAGGTTCCTGAAGACGTGCAGCGTGTGAGTGGGCAGAATGAGCTGAAGAAGAAGAAATTTGATCATCTGGTTCTGGGACCTGCTGCGGGTCAAGGTTTACCCGATCGCCTGCATTGCCGAGGTAAGGTATTTCTCTGTCTTAGCGTTTTATATACACTTACAAGTGTCATTCAGAAGTTTATGATGTTAATTTCATCCAGACATGATATTGGCAACTCGGTTGTAATGAATGTTGGTTTAGACTTTCTAATAAATGCAGCTATTGCACATATCCTCTTCTCCCGAAAGGTTGAATTCCCAATCCCAGGGCCACACCCTGGGCCAATAGAGTATCTGAGAGCATGTAATTCATGGTAACTCAGTGGAAGGGCCAAATGCCGGTGCGCATAAGGAATTTGCCCACTTTGGGCATAATCCCTACACTGCCGGTGCCAAGTTTCGAATCTTGGTTACTTCTCCCAAATACTGTCTATTGAATCAGGGAGTTAAGCCCGTGCAGGTTATTGCACATATCTAGACAAGTCATTCTGGCCCACAAAAGGCAAAATTCCCTCTCCCCATGCCCCCACAGGATAGTGGAGGGATAAATCACGATGACTCCTCCCAATTAGGTGGGAGGACTAGTGCCTGTGCCCACAAGAAGCCCACCATATTGGGTGTAACTCTCAGGGCCAGGCTCGATCTTGTGTTATTTCCCACAATCTATCATCCAAGAACTAACTGACTTGCCGGTGCAAGTAGACGAGTCATTCTTGGTGGCCATTAGTGGTTTCTGGCATATTGCCAAGTGAGAATTGCTAAGTTTGCTATGTATGATTTGGTGACTGAATTATAGGTAACAAGGCCCTCAACAGAACACACTTCCCAGCTTCTAGCAATTCGGGTTCTGGAGATATTGTTTCCTTTGTCACTGTATTTGCCACTTATGATGCTCCAGTTGACACACAAAGGAATGAAAGATTGGTAAACTTGGTTACTACTGTTGGGAACGCTTCATACAGCAAGGTGGAGAGGTCACTTGCCATCTTAGATGTCTTTATTAATTTCATTCAGGTAAAAGATGATGTGAAAGCATAAATACAGCTGCAAAATATAGTTGGAAACAATAGTGCTCTCCTTTTCAATTGGTTTCTTTTTCCCGTCCACCCCATGGGTTTGGATTAGACAATTTCTTTGCATAGAAGAATTGCATGATAGACTTTATTTGTTTAAGCTTGGCTGGTCACTTTTACACTTCAAACAAGTAAGCTAGTGTAATAATCAGTTTTTAAAACACAAGAAAACATGTTTAGTGCATTGTGGAAAGGATCTTGATCTCTGAATAGAACTGGTGTTAGTGTTTTATGCACTTGGTACATGACGTGTAGTGGAATTTATCTTTTGCTTTATGTTAACAATGGCGTTTCTGTTTCATTTGTTAACGTTAATCCAGAAATATCATGTATACGTTTTGCACACATTAGAACACATTAATTGTTCTCTGCTTCTCTTTATTTCTAGAGTAGGTTCTGCTAGCCTAACTTTGTAGAACCAGTGCAATATGTTTGTGAGTTCTGTTGAGCCATTTTTATTGCATTTTGACCTTAGTAAGATATTTGCAGGTGACCATGCCTCAAAGCAGCATTATCATTCTTACTGATCCATCATCTCAGCTTCCAGTGAACAGAAATGGTGTTTTCATTCATCCTATTCAAGGTGAATATTCACGAGACAAGCTGATGCTTCAAAGAATCAGGTCCTACATTGTAAGAGCACAAGCCAATATTATGAGATTGATGATTTACTTCCTCTAGGACGTTGTGCACTAGGAATTTCATCATGTCTTTAGAAATTTTACCCGTTACCATTAGTCAATTGCAAAGTGACCTTTCAAGCAGAATCGCTCCGGTTTAAGGATAGTGAAAATGAATATATCGCTGGATTATCAGATCCCTCTTCAAGTTTAATGTGAAATGTTATGACAGTGACTTTACCATGTGACCTCCCTTCAGCTGGCTTTGCCCTATCATTGATCTTTTTTTTTACAAATGGATATTTTAAAATCATTCTTGTCTTATACGTCTACATATTTTAGAAAAAAATTTCATCTTATTCTCATGTAAGTTGTAATGTCCTAAATCTCCTTGGTAAAATACATCTCAACTTGGTCTTTGCTTTGATAATATAAACACTTCCCTTATGGTCCTTCTCATCATGAAAGAAAGTACACTAGTTTTCAACATTAGTCATTCTTGTAACTGAGTCAAGAAAATCTAGTAAAGCATTTTTTGGGTTCCCAAAATCCAAGTAAAGAAATGTATAAATTTGGGATCTAAACCTCAGTTTAAAGAAATGTGTATTGTGTTAGAGTGTTGATATTCATTTTCATCTAAAATGCATGTGATGGTTTCTTGAGAGTTTGTCTGCTTTGTTTTTGCTGTTCTGTATTTCTCTTTCCCCGTTTTTAATTAATGACAGAAGTTAAACTTAAACAGAAAATTTGCATGAATCGATTATTTATCTTAATGGGTTTCTTTGTTGCAGACATTCCTCGAAACGAGATATGAGGAGCAGTCTAGGTGGCAGGGGAAAGTTAATCACTATATTTTTACAGACTCGGATTTAGCAGTTGTTGATAACCTGGGAGAGATTTTTGACAACTATCCAGATTTTGATCTTGCTCTTACCTTCCGTAACAACAAAGAGCAACCTCTAAATTCGGGATTCATAGCAGTAAGAGGAACCCCAGAGGGAATTTTAAGGTGCGTTATTTTGTTCTTGACCACAACGGTGGCCAAAATGAATGGTCTAAACGTTTTAGGGTAACTGTTTTTTATTCTAGACTTGAACCTTTACGCTAAACAAATAAAGCTCATCTCAGCTCAGTAAAGCAATCTTCCAACACACATAAATATGAGCTGGGGCGTATTGCTCGGCTTCTCATCATGAATCGGTTCAAACGTTGTTGCCTGCAGGGCTAAGATTTTCTTACAGCGTGTCCTAGAAGTCTATAGTACCAAGTATATGAAAGCTTCGAGAATGCTTGGAGATCAATTAGCTCTAGCCTGGGTCGTAAAGTCAAACCCTTCATTTGACGCAAAAAAGTTCACTAGAAGACAGCCATTTCTAGATAAAATTGATGGCGCTTCCATTTTATTTCTACCGTGTGCCTTGTACAATTGGACGCCACCAGAGGGTGCGGGTCAGTTTCATGGGATGCCCCTGGATGTTAAGGTACATATCCCGATCGTTTTATTCTTGAGGCTTGTTCATGATCTAGTCTTTCTAAGAAACTATATATGTTTATTTACAATATACTCTTTTGAATCACTGTTTGTTGACCTTGTTGAGCATATAACCATTAATGTGCAATCCAACTATCAGCTTAGACTTTTAGTTGAGATGGAGCACAGACTTCAATTCGGTATCAGAGCCAGATCATGGGTTTGAATCTCTACGTCACCCGATAAGCGACTACGGTCTAGGACTTTTCCGAATTTTTTTACATTTTTCGTTTAGAGTTGTGTATCTACTTCTCTTACAGGTAATTCATTTTAAGGGGTCAAGAAAACGACTCATGCTGGAGTCTTGGAACTTCTTTAACTCATCATCGCTGGCATCGTCTGAGAAAATCTCTGATATGCTATGCCTCATTGTAAGAAGTGGGCGGACAAAGTACGATTTCTAAGTTTGAAATTAACAACGGATTGGATGCATCCAATCGTAAATTTCTGATCTGAACTGCCCGTTCTTCGGGAAGACTAGAGAACGCGTTTTGATGCCAAATGCAGAGCCAATCTTTACTGAAGAGTTACCATCCTTTTGCTTCATCACACTTCAACTGCTATTTCTTTGTTTTTGTTGCAAAACCATGTGAAGTGAAGGATGGATGCAATTCTTTTGTTGTATAAAACCTAGGAATCCTTGTACATTAATGGAATCAAAGCAAGGCTTTTGAGGATTTGAGTGTCTCCAATCTCCAAACCTATGTAACCTTGTACCGTGTGCCTTTGCAGCAGAATGTGGTTGGCCCCATGGAGGGTCGGTCATCAAGAAATATTTGCAAATGCATTGTCAACCTTGTTTGAATTAGTTATAATTCATAAAATAAAAAGAAACGCAATTATATTTGTGTAGCAACTAGTGTCATATACATTTACTAAGATAGTAAACCGCCATTATATTATAGAAAAAAATACACTACTTTTCGTCTTAAGTTATAAGATAATTGTAGAATTTGTTCCTAATTGTCGATAATGTTCACTTTTCGTCCATAAGCTATTATTAGCTTTGTACTTTTTGTCCCTTCACTAATAAAACATTAGGGACGAGATTTGCAACGTTAGTATAACTTAGCGACGAAAAGTGTAATGCCAATGTAGCTTAGGGACTAAAAGTGAGCACACGACCAACAATTAAGGATGAATTCTAAAATTGCGTAACTTAGGGAAAATGTAATTTTCTCTATATTTTATCATACTTGCGTAGCAGCATCCGATGCCAGGTCTTGAATGTATACGAAAAAAAAAAAAAGATAAATGGCCATGTTTGGTAAATGGTTGTTAGCTGATAGCTGTTAGCTGATTGAGTTAATTAGAGGGTATAACTAGTTGATAACGATGGTTGTTAGCTGATAGCCGTTAGCTGATTGGGTTAATTAAAGAGTATAACTAGTTGATAACGTTAACTGATTGTAGAAAAGTATTTGGTAAATTAATTGTTAGCTAACAGGTGTTTGATATAACTTCTTCTCTAAAAAAACTAATTGAAAAAATTATTTTGAGTAGGTTTTTGAATTTTATATTAGCATTTTAGAGTACAAAAAACTAATTAACCAAACATTTATATTGATTTTTAAACCAAGTCAAACAACTAATAGTAGTCAATTAAGTCAAAATTAACTTATAAGCTAATTATTTTACCAAACAGGGCCACTACTGGCTTCCACTCAACAAAAACTATATATACATTATCATGCTATGTTGTTGCTCACTTTCATGCTTCATGTCAGCTTCAGGTCGCCGCGTTTACAGCAGCCCGTGTAAGAGAATGTTTGTAGCCCGACTACCAAAACCTAAACAGAATGTCACTTCAACATATATATGCATGTGCAATGCTCCAAACATGGAAATGGATATGATATGATGACAGACAGGCTCCATTTCAGAGTTAAGGCCGGATAGATTAAGGTTTGACAAGAAACATGCAATGTCGCAAAATTTCGGCCAAAAGCCACTCACAGATGATCTTGGGAAACCACATGCATCATCATCTAATCTAATGTGATATGCCATCAGGTCTGCACATCACACATAGAGGCTTTTACAAGTAGTTAGTTGGTTTTTGAGTAGCAGATAGTGGACAATAAGGATATAGGAATGAGCCCGGTCACCTCAGCGTGGGAGCAGTGCGGGAGTTATGCACTTATGCCTAATGTGGTGGGCTTCTTGTGGGCTCAGGAACTAGTCCACCGTACTCATCTAATGGACTACTGAGTCACCTTACTTTATCTTCTCCATAAATCCTATCGATCGGGATGTGGGGACCTTTTGACGAGGGATTTCGCCTTTGTGGGTGAGTTGAGTGTACTTACCTAAGTTATTCGATGATCTTTTAATCGTTATGATACCGTATTGTAGGATGTATTATGCATCGGCTAAAAGTTTAAATGGTTAATGATGCTTGATATGTTTTTATTATTTTATATTTATTCTCAAGGCAAAAAATAAAAGGGACATTTTTGGTGTTGTCTTCTTCAAATGAGCAGTATGCTAGCCTCGTAAAGTGATGCACATGTTCTATCAAATAAATTTCATTGAGTTTTGAATTGAGGCTCTTAGTTTTTATGAGCATTAATTTGTAGCTTTTGATTAAATTAAGTATTCAATATCTATCTTGATAAATTGAAATATTTTAGTAATTTTACACGTTATTAACTGTGTGTAAATTTTGATTGAAAACCTATCAACACATGATCAGTTGATCACCTAATGCACACAAAGTTTTACATATAACTCCGGCGGAAGCTAAAAATATTGTTAACTAGGCGTAAAATCAAAACATTTTAAAACACGATTAAAAATATTCATAACAAAATATGAAACATAATTAATTAAATAAAATGATTCAAATAAAAACAATACATAATAAATCGTACATCATCTCTATTGATATAATATTAATAAATACTTTTTCTTCAATTTTTTTTAAATTGAATACAATGACGAACAATAGAAGCTTCAACTATATTAACTAAATGATTCATAAAAAGTAGATTTTCTTTTAAAATATTTTTCTAACTGAAACAGAAAACATATTTATATTAAGTAATAAATCCTTTTAAATAATTATTACTATACATAGCACATTATACAAATCTCACAAATTAAAACACAATATAAATCCTTTCAAAAAAAAACACAATATAAATATATAAAAATAAGGGAAAATGACGATTTTTAGTCCATTAGTTATACCTAAATTGTAGACTTAGTCCATGAATTATTATTATGTACAAATTTTGTCTTTTAATTATGTTAAAGCGACCATTTCAATCCATAACTTAAAGATTTTATTAACATTAACAATTTATTTTAAATTTTTAAATTATTAAAGAATATATTAGTCATTTTGTAAATTTTTTTTTTCAAATTTCCTTCATGAATCTCCATACATACACTACTCTTACAGTAAAACACTTGCTAACTACTTGTCTATCTTGATTGAGACGGAATTTGAGAAGCAAAAATGACAAGCATGATATTACTTAGGAATGAAGATAGACTAAATTGTAAGTTTAATATATTAGTTTATTAAAATAAATTTAATATATTAGTTTATTAAAATTTTTCATTTGTTGGATGTAAATTACTATTTTTGATATCTCATTGTGTTCATACTTTAATGGGTTATATATATATATATATATATATATATATATATATATATATATATATATATATATATATATAATTTAGTTATTAACATATTAAAATAAACAAAAAAATTTCATTTTGCAAGTGAATCTTTTTTTAAAAAAAATATTTACCTCCAAAATCTAGTAGTAAATATTCAATGTCATTTCCCTTAGAATCTTCATAAACAATAAAAGAAAATTTCTCTAATATAATTGCAGTTAGCAAAATAAATTGGAAAGCCAAGCTAACCTTGTGGTTACAAGTGTAGATCTCTTGCCATCTTGGCTGAGGTAACCCTAAGGGGGCGTTTGGTTCACGGAATCTTGGATTACCCCAGGTAATAGGATTACCTCCAGGAAGGTAATGTGAGATGTTGGGAATGTAAAATTACCTTGTGTGTTTGGTTTGGATAGTGTAATATAATATTACCTTGTTTGGTTCAATGTTATATTTTAGGTTATATGGATCAATTTACAATAATGTCCTCAATAATATATATATATATATATATATATATATATATATATATATATATATGTGGTGTGTGTGTGTGTGTGTGTGTGTGTGTGTGTGTATTTATTTATAAGTATGAATGTATATCGATGCTTAAATATTAAAAAATTAAATATATAAATATACACATATATATTTGATTATATAAACATATATTAATTTCATTATTATTATTATTATTATTATTATTATTATTATTATTATTATTATTATTATTATTATTATTATTATTATTATTATTATTATTATATAAGGGTTAGTTAACAAGGGCAAAGTTGGAATAATTCAAGGTAATCTAAGATTACCTAAAAAATTGAGGGTAATCACATTACCTTGAAACATTACCGCCACATCAGCTTTCAGGTAATATAACATTACCAGGTAATCTTATAACTTGAACCAAACAAGGTAATATAACATTACCAGACTCAGATTACCTAGGTAATCTAAGATGACCTGAACCAAACGCCCCCTAAAAGATTTTTTATCACAATAGGACTCAAACCCACATTCTCTCAATCCGAAAGGCGAGTGCCTTATCCATTAAGACACACGACTCTTTGATCTTGCTTGTTATTTTTGTTTCTCAGATTTTTCCTCAATCAAGAAAAACAAGTATTATTAGCAAGAGTTTTGTAGTAAGAGTAGCGTAATATTACAAAGTTTGGTATAAATCACTACATTATATCCTTTAATAAAATAACAAATATATCATTTAATAATTTGAAAATTTAAAATAATGTTGTGTTTGTCTCATATAAGGATTAGGAATATGAGTTTGTCTCATATAAGGAATAGGAGTGAAAGGGAGATTATATGCCTATAAATATAATCAATGTATCTCATCACCCGGTACACCATCACAAATAATAAGAGAATACTTTCACTCCCGTGGATGTAGGCACATTGCCGAACCACGTAAATCTTGTCTTCTTTACCTTTCTGCCATTATTATTTTTCTTGTTTTTGTTAATCTCAACAAATTGGTATCAGAGCACTGTTGAGATGACCAGTTCAAGTACAAAATTCGAGGTATCAAAATTTGATGGTACAGGGGAATTTTGGGTTATGGCAGTCTAGGGTAAAGGATTTGTTGGCACAACAGGGTCTTCTGAAAACTTTGATGGCGGAAAAGCCAGCTAATCTGGAAGAGAATGATTGGGATGATTTGAAGGAGCGTGCGGCAGGAACCATTCGGTTATGCCTGGATGATGGAATTGTGTATCACGTTATGGCCCTGGAAGCCCCAAAAGAAATTTGGGATAAATTGGAAACTCAGTTCATGGAAAAATCTCTAACGAACAAACTGTATCTAAAGCAAAGGATTTATGGGCTTAAGATGCAGGAGGGTTCAGACTTGGTGCATCATATTAATGTCTTCAACCAGATAATCTCAGATCTGGCCAGGCTTGATGTCAAGATTGAAGATGAAGACAAGGCGATGATCTTGCTATGTTCATTACCTTTTTCCTTTGAACATCTGGTGACTACTCTAACATACGGGAAAAGCACGATTAAATACAACGAGATCTCTGCGGCCCTGCAGGCTCATAATAAGCGCATGCAGAGTGTATGAGATGGATCGT